TATGATTATCATTAGCTAATGCCATAGGTATACATTTTGACCAATCCCACATGGCATAAACCCATTCAGCTTCAGTTGGTAAATCGATTTCATGACCAGTTTTTTGTGATAACCATCGACAATAAGCTTTAGCTTCCATATGACTAACAATAACAGGATGATCAAGTACTGATTCAATAGGTATATCACGTTGTAATATAAAATTTACACGATATGAATTATCATAAGTCCATGATGCTGGGTGACAAATTTTCGATTCAATAACCCATTCAAAGACATCATTATCCCACCATTTTTTTGTTGTATAACCATTATCTAAGACAAATTCAAGAAAATCACCAATACGAACTGGATGTGATTGTAGTTCAAAACTTGGTACATATGTTGGTTCACAAGGAAATTCATTATCCCAGCCAAAGGAATATGTTGTCTTGTTTTCATTATATGCTTTACCTAATGATATTTGTCCGCCTGGTAATGGTATCCATTTATTGTCAGATAAAGGTAAAGTTACATGACAAAGACGAAAATCCTCTTCATTCATTCCATCCAATCGTAGTGATTCTATTGGTAATTGAGCATATAAATACATTAATGTTTCTTGATGCATCATCTCATGTTCCAGAGCAATATTTAATATATTTAATGTTTGTACATCATAAAAATCAAGATTACCATTCATTAATACATTTTCAATTTCTGAACGAACTTTGAGTTTATATTCATTAACATTTTCTACACTAAATGAATGCCAATATTCTTTTTCTTGATCATCATTCATTGAAAATCTACTTGAATGTCCATGATTAACAATACCTGTTAATACATCTGGATCAACTCCACGTTGAAAGAGTTTATCATATAAAACATCAACGATTTTATCTACGCCATGTAAATGTTGAAATTGTGCCCAAGAAAAACATGGTAAATGACCAAGATAAAATAAAAGTGGTAATCTTAACTTGATTGGTTGCCGATAAAAATCATCAGATGAACGAAGTAAATCAAACAAACAATCACTACGTTCCCATATTTGATGAAACTTATTACACCAATTGATAATAATAAAATCACTGTCACCATTGACATGATTATATTGATCAAAAGATTGATTATGCTTTAGATTACTCATTGTAAAACAAAGAAAGACTCATTGGATGTGCAATATTTTACTCTTTTTATATATTCAAATTTTCAATCGTATCAGCTGAGTCAATAACGTATATAATATTTCTTAAAATAAATTTTAGATTGAGTAATAAAGACTCGGTGGAATTTGATGTCCTTTGCGTTTATTTAGATTGATTGATAATGGATCATTTACGTAGATTTATTCTCTTTTCTTTTAACCCGCACACACCCGCTTTCACTTGTAATATTTCGTTGTTATCTGTGAATGCGTAGGTGAAAAGACCTTGTATTATTATTCCTGTATTTTCATTAATCAATTCATAAATAACAAAAACACTATTAATTTCATTGATTTTGTTGTCATGTCAGCATTGAGTGACAAAAAAAAAACAACATTAGGCATCTGTTATTGTGTGTCGTATTTTTGACCTATTAAGTGAAAAGAATAACGCACCCCTCTCTCCCATATTCTTCAAATAAATGCACGTATTATTAGTATGATTGACAAAGTCGAACTAGAATGTTTTTATTCAAGAAATAAGAAAGTTGTAAGTGAACCTCAGTTGTTCGTTCACAAAAAAAAAACAAAGAAGAAACGTTTAATAAACTAATAAGAAAGTATCATTTATCTTAAATTACTGTAGACCAGCTTCTTTTAAACTATTATGTGTTGGATCCCAGGTGCATGACCATGGTTTATCACCAAGTACATTCTATATATATAAATATAATAAATAGAGACAAATATTAATTTCATTAAGTTTGTTTTTTTACATACCAATACTTTCAAATCTTCATCAGGAATTGACCAATCGAATACATCTGCATTTGATTGAAGTCTTGATTTTTGAGATGTCTTAGGAATTGTTATATATCCATGTTGGACAGACCAACGAATCAATATTTGTGCCGGAGTTTTCGATAATCTATATATTATTTCATAGATAATTCCTATGCTTGTGGCAGAGCTGGGCAAAATACTTCAAGTATTCATACTCGAATATCAATCACTCTAAAAGACAAAGGCAAATAAGGCCATTTGTCCTCTCCCAAAATATTTCGGTGTTTAATGTTAAAATTTATTCCGTAGTGTCTTCTAATATCATAGCAACGGTTTATTTTGCAACGTCTATCGATTAACTTTTCATGTCACATTCGTACCTTTAGAAGGATGGTCAAATTTTTGTTGACTTCGTAGAGAAGTATATACGTGACTCGAAAAATTGATCGAAAGACGTTGAAAAATAAGACCTTTGCAATATTATCAGACATTGCCACTAGGAGAAAGCCCATTCGGGTGGGTACGTGTTTGAAAATTTTGAACTCAACAGACTCTACACTAAATTGATTTCAACACAGAAAAAAATGAAAAATTTTGAGGGCAAAAAAACATCCTTATCCACTTTCGTCCTTGTAGATAAAATCTATTATATTAAAGTGATACCAGTACTTATTTCTGTCCTTCGAAGATTAGTTAAATAGCTAATTTTTTTCGTCATCAATCTAATATAAAAGTGCACTCATTCATATTCGAGAATTATGTTGTAAGGACGTTGAACATATATTCCGAAGTAATCTTATTCGAAATTCTCGTACTCAAGAAAATTCGTACTTGTCCAGCTCTGGCTTGTTGAAATGAAAAAAAAATATATTTTACTTGTTTGCAATATCACCAATAGTTTTATCTCGAATTTTTTGACCTTTTGCCAATGGTGAATAACCCATAACAGTAATGTCATGTTCACGACAATATTTGACAATATCTTTTTTTTGTTGCCATGGATGAAGTTCAATTTGATTAACTGACGGTTTTTCAAGACCTAATTTAGCAAGAGCTTGTAAATGAACTACACCAAAATTTGAAACACCTAATGATCTATAATATTTTCCATGGTAAAAAAGAAACTTTCTTTTAAGAAAATTTTTTTCACCTAATCTTTCCTTGTTTCTTTGCTTCGAGTAATGCTCGATATGCTTCAGCACAATGACCACCTTGTGGTGCATGAAGAAGATATAAATCAACATAATCCGATTGAAGACTAGAAAAAATGTTAGATGAGACAAAAAAAGATGATCCAATTCTTTTAAAAACCCTGTCAAACATTGATTAAGTGTTTTAAGAGCTCCTCTTGCTCCTTCAGACGATGGCCACCATTTTGATACAACAAAAATATCTTCACGTTTTTTTCCACTTTGTTTTATTCCATTACCAACACCATCTTCATTAGCATAAAATTCAGCTGTATCAATTAATCGATAACCTTGATTAATTGCTGCGGCAACTAGATTAGCACCTAAAGAATATAAAAATCAAATTTTCTTATATTATAAATATAGATCTAATATACAATTCTCATCAATTAGATACACTCCAAGCCCAAATAATGGCATAACCACACCATCATTGAGTTTAACAGTTGATTCAAGACTTGTTGGTATCAATGGTGAAGTCATCTAAAATTTAAAAAAAGAAATTTTAATCAGTATTTAAAAAAAAGACAAATCACGCGGCAGCTTGCAAGTGATCATGTTCAAGCTGATCATTGATCAGCATGTCGATGACACCTTACCCCCTGCCGACAATTCATATTGTAATAAGCGAGAACAACATAAATTGTTACACGACCTGTTACCTATCTACCGATATCATTAATCAATTTTGTACAATTCATCAACATTCATACCATAAGAAAGAGAGAAAGAGAGAAAAGTGAAGATATATATATGTATGAACGATTCAAAGGAGTGAACCACAATATATTTTCAAGCTCAAAGTAAGTGAAGCCATTGATTCACACGTTATTTTAACTGTTTTCTTTTGCGAAACACGATTGAAAAGGATTGTTGACGTATATAGAGTAGAGATTTACAACCCTTACAGTATGCATCTAAGTAAACATTTGGCAAAAAATCAAAATCGTTCTTTTTCAAGATTGAAATATAGAGAAATGTAGTCTATCTAATAGTATAAATAATTTTATTATATCCTTCAAAGAAACTGAAAACAACAGTTGCCTAAAAATTAGTCTGAAAACCATAATATCATTAGGAAAATTAATATCTGACAAAATAAAACTAATTGATAGACTAACTAAGTACATTTCCTGAATCTTCAAGAAAAGCTCTATACAATGGTAAAAAATATTCTTCAACTTGCATGTTTTACTTTTGACAAAAAAAAATAATAATATTTTTTTTCTAGAGTGTCGTCTCAACGGCTAGTCCCATGAAATGAGTAATCCAATCTTCAAACTTTTCTAAATTTCACCAAAATGTTCCTCTATCTACTATCTCTAATCTCTATTAGCATAAACAAAACCCAGACTGCACAGTGGGTTTTCAAAAAACCCAAGTTTTTCTGTGTTCCTGGCTTTGTAAAAATATTTCATCAACAAAAATAGAATATTCAAAATTAGTGCATTAAATTGCATTGCATGATATATAAGACAACAATTTTGAAGAAAAACATTGTCTCAAAAAAATTAGAGTAAGGATCACTCAGGTTTTTTTCATCGAGAAAAAATTGCTTTGCTGCGTCATATCCAACAACTTTTGACCAAAGAAATCTATTTTCGAACAAGAAAATTACATGTCTACCTGCCATGCGAAAAACACACACAGTATCCTATTCTCTCCTGCACAGGTTCGAGTTAAAAGCTGTGTATCAATGACGTCTCGTTATAATACATGAACTACTTGGTTATTGTATTTCTGGAGGATGAAGTAAAAGGATGCGGAAAGCATGTGTTTCAAAATAGATGAAGTAAACTGACCTTTCTATGATTAGCAAGAGTATTTACATCGTGTTTCATATTTTAATCCTATAGGAATTGCGCTAATAGCTTTTGTTTTTTTCTTCTTATAGAAAAATGAATCCACAAGATAGCGGCTATTTCAATCCAAGTCCAGCAACTCAAGATTTTTGTTCTCATAAAACTCTTAAAACATTAACTAAACCTCAAGAATCTTATGTAGCTTTAATTGCTCGTGCTATATTATCTTCACCTAATTATCAAATGTTACTTATAGAAATCTATGAATGGATTATAAATGAATATCCTTATTTTGGAACATTACAAAGTAAAGCATGGAGAAATTCTATAAGACATAATTTATCATTAAATGAATGTTTTATTCGACAACAAAAGTCTGAAAATGGTCGAGGTTATTATTGGGGAATACATCCAGCTGCATTTGATGCTTTTATTCATGGTGATTTTCGACGACGACAAGCTCGTCTTCGAGCCAAACGTGCAGATAATTTATCTATTCAAACCATACCATGGATGATGAACAGGGATATCTCATTGGACTATTCAATAAATCAAACACAAACATATAATTATTCATATTCATAATTTTTCTCTTCTTTTTTTATAATTAATAAAAAATAAAACAAATACAAGAATTTGTGCATTAGTTTATTCTCATTAAGGAAGTGTATATAATATATATATATATATATAGAATTAAATCATAAAGAGAAAAAGAAAAAGATTCGATGATTATCTGTTCATATTCATTGCAGCGCATTCGTTTTAGTTTATTTTCATTTTTTACTTATAAGGATTTGGTTGTTGATTAATATAAGGTGGTGGTGGACCACCGTAACCTTGTTGTGGTGGATAATAATTTCCTTGATTATATGGTGGATAGCCAGGTTGTTGATTTGGAGGTGGATAACCTTGTTGTTGATTTGAAGGCGGATAATAAGGTTGTGCACCTCCAGGATAATATTGTGGTTGATTTTGAGGAGATGGACCATAACCTTGTGGACCATAAACACCTGCTGCTGGAACATAACCACCTGGTTGCTGATAATAACTGAATGAAAAAGAAATGAATAAAGTTTTATTTTCAGTTATGTAGAGAGAAAAAGGACATACACAGTTGTTGGTGCTTGATTATTACGAGAATTTGAATCCATCATATCTTTCTATAGGTAAAAAAAAATTTCATCGTAAAACAAATAAATTAGAAAACAAATTCGATATAATTACACAGCATTTGCCTATAGAGAAAAAAAGAAATTTTTCATTTTCTATTTTTAGATTCTAGAATACATACAGCAACAGAGAGCAGCTAGAGGAACACAAAGACAGCAAAGAATATCATCACAACCGTCATCTAGACACATGACTACAATCTTTAATAAAAACAAAATAATAAATAAGAATAATAATTAAATTAAATAAATTATTCAAAAGACAACTAATAATAACACAATAAATCAAATTGTAAATACATTATGGATCAATGGTTGCACTTTTATACGAATGGTTTATTTTATTATCTATTTATTATAACTAACGATAGATAACGTTACACGTCGATTGATAGCTATCAATGATTTGATTCATTTGTTTGAAAAGGACAATAGGTACTTCAAATATAATTAAAAATTTTTACATCTCATTTATTATTAATACTCAACAAACATAATATGAACTTAATTTGTGTTTAAAAAAAACTCATAAAGGCAGATAAATATAATAATAATTTTTAAAAACATCTGGTTAAATTCTCAAGGATATGCATTCGACAAATTTAATAATACATTTTTATTCTCCTACCGAACTATGTCTTTCATTGATTTGAAATAGTGGTAATGAAATTTAAAATTCATCGGTATGGATTTTTTTCTTAAATTAATTGAACACATTTTCACATTTTCTTTTTTGTGTAAATTACAGTTTTAAAACTATTTTATGTTTTTTATTATTAATTTTAATTTTTTTCTTCTTTTATCGTTGGGTAAGTATGCAAAAAAATGAAAATATTTTATAATTTCTTGATTATTCTTAAGCGATATATTGATGACATTGATCCTATTGGTACTATTTATATCACTGAAGTTCATGAACGGCGTGATACTTCTTTCTTGAATGACTGTAAGTCTTTTTCAGTACGATTGCCTTTTCTTTTTTTTTTACAAAATTCATTCTTTTTAATAGATATTAAAAGCAAAGAAAATAATTATTTTGCAACTCAAAATTTCACTGTACCTGTTCTTGTTTGGTGGACACCATTTACATATGATACAGGTTCTTATATACGATGTCGTGATCAAACGAGATGTTTTATATCAAATATAAGAAAATATCGTGATAATAAACAATTTTCTGCATTTCTTTTTTATGGTACTGAGTTTCGCCTATATGATTTACCATTGCCACGTTATGCACATGAACAATGGTCATTACTTCATGAAGAATCACCAAAAAATAATTATGTATTTTCATTTGAATCTATTATGAATATGTTTAATCATACAGCAACATTTAAACGTCATTCTGATGTACCATTAACAACTCAATGGTTAGCATCCCTTGATGATTTATTAGATCAAACATATGTTATCGATGTTAAAGAAAAAACACAATTACAAAAAACAGAAAATTTAGCACCAATTATATATATACAATCGGATTGTAATACACCATCCGATCGAGATATATATATTAAAGAATTAATGAATTATATTCAAGTTGATTCCTATGGAAGTTGTTTACATAATAAAGATTTACCAGAAAAGTATATTTTATTTCGAAAACGAAAAAAAAATACTGTTTTCCTTTTTGTTGTAGCTTAAGAAATCCAGTTGTAGCAATGGAACATGATGAAATATTAAAACTTGTTGGTAAATATAAATTTGCATTGGCTTTTGAAAATGCAATTTGTACTGATTATATAACTGAAAAATTTTGGCGTCCATTGAAAGTTGGAACTGTGCCTATTGTCTATGGATCTGATCGATTTCAAGTATAATATATCAATTCATTCTTATAATTTTTTCTTTTTCTTTCGAACAGGATTTTCTTCCTGATAATCATTCAGCAATATCCATTCTCGATTTTGCTACACCTGCAGATTTAGCTCATTATATTCATGAATTAAATATCAATGATACTTTATATGATTTCTATCGTCATTATAAATTAAATCGTATAATTTCAAATGATACACTTCTTGCTCAAACAATGTCTGCACGTACATGGGGTATACATAATGATCGTATTCAAGGCAATTTTATTAATAAATTTGAATGTATTGTATGTGAACGTGTACATAAAACACGACAAGATTTAACAATAAAATATCAAGCTAAATTTGATGATTATGGTTGTCCACCACCAACAACATTTGATAAACATGGTCGCCAATTAGAACGTACAGGAAATTGGTATCGTACATATGAATATACTCGTTGTCAATTGGAAGTATTTCAAGAATTGATTGATCAAAAAAATTATAGTTTTACAGAAAAAGATTTATATAATGCAGCATCAAAACGATTTTCACCATCGTTTCAAAGAAGTGAATTTTTAAGAAAATAAATGTTTGGTTTTGCTTTTTTTATTTATTTGAATTTCAGAAATAAAAAATTTCTACGTGTTTACTTTGAAGATTTATTAATTAAAGTCGATAAAATGTAGTAGAATATCTATAAAACTTTTTATTCTCTTTTTTATCAAGTGTGTCTTAAAATAAAATAAAACCATTTACTACATCACTATAGTTTACTATCAGATGAGTTAAACAGTGTTTCTTTCTTTCAATCTGTGTCTTCACTATAGACCAAATACTACATAAACGAGATATAAAGACAGTTACCAGGTTTGAAACCCCATAAAGAGTTACGTTCACGCTTTCATTTATTTATTTAACGCTAGATTTTAATCGGAGATAAACTTTATCGAAAAACAATCGGTAATATTAATGATTTTGATTTGTTTGGTTTACTATTTCAATTGTCATCTGCTGCCATCTCGATTAATATTTAGATTGTGTAGACTTGTTATCGCCAATGATAGAATGCAGGATGTAAAAGGAAGGAGGAAAATGTCAGCACGTTTTCGTTGGACGAGCGCTTAATAATGATGGAGATGTGGGTGTGCACATCTTGTAGAGTAGTTGACGTCACACATATGATGAAATGAACATATAGATACGCAAAGCATTGCACAAGCTACTTTTTTTCTCTTTTTATTCTCCTAGATTTCAACTAGACAGTCTTCATTTGAATTCACAATCAATTAAAAATGAGCTCAACAACTCAACAAAAATCATCATCTTCACTTTGGAAATGTCCTGAAATGGTATCCGAAGCACGACTTCGGCTTTATAATAGTTTTACCAAGAAAAAGGTAATTAGATTGAGAATTTCTTTATATTAAATTTATGATTCTCTTTAGGAACTTTTTGTTCCTATAAACGGTAATGAAGTACGTTGGTATAGTTGTGGACCAACTGTTTATGATACATCTCATATGGGTCATGCTAGGTAATTCAGTAAGAATTATATATTTTATCTAATTTGTCTATTTTAAGATCATATATTTCATTCGATATTCTTCATCGCGTTATGGCTGATTATTTTGGTTATGATGTTCTCTATTGTATGAACGTAACGGATATCGATGATAAAGTATGTTTATTATTGCTATTAAAAAACCTTGTTGGAAACGATATTCGTCCTTCATTTTAATAGCCATATATATATATATCATTTTGTAGAGTAACTCGTAGTGAATCGAATAGTATAGAGAAAATTACTTTTTCATCAATTTTTAATGTTCTGAGAAGTCATATATCAGTTATGAAATATCATAGGAATGGTGGCTAATATGACCAAATATTACGACTCAATATGTTTCAAAATTATTTCAATAGAATTTTGTCTCGTCTTCAATCGTCAGTATGTAATAATTGTTACCATAGTCATCTTCGTACTCTAAACCTTAGTACTTTTACTAGCTTCTGTAATTATTTGGCTTTAATGATTTTTTTTTAAAGTCTTCGATACTGCTTCTGAGGGCAAAGTCCACTAACGGTGATTTTGTTTTTTGTGACATTGTGTATTATGATCAAATTGATCAATCAATGTCTAGAAAAAGTACAGTTTTTCGATTTGTAAGAACAAAAAAAGATATGGATTTTGCGAAAAATACTTTTTAATTGAAAAGTTTCTACCTATTAATAATAAGTTCATCATGACCTATGAATTGACATATATATGAATCTTTAGAAAATGACAAAAAAAAAAAATTTTCGCCTTCAAACCTCTGGAGAGAGGTACAAGGATAAACCATTACGAAGATTACCTTGTGATTAGAGTATGAAGCTTTATTAGATTCTATATAGAATGAGGCTCTTAAGAGAATTAAAAATGTTAAATATCCTCGTAAGTTCAGAAGCAGAATTTTTTTTGTCATGGTCGAAAGATCCATATATGTCAAATGAGAAGGCATGATGAACTTATTATAAATAGATAGAAATTTTTTCACTTAAAAATTATTTATTACAAAACTCGTATACTTTTCTGTCCTTAGAAATTGAAAAATTGGCTTTTTTTTAAGGCATTGATTGACCGACTTGATCATGACACACAATTTCTGGAAAATTTACACGGTTGATCACCTGTACCATCAGGAGAAGTATTGAACAATTTAAAACATCATCTAAGCGAAAATTACAGAAGCTGTTAAAAATGCAAAGGTTTTAGTTACGAAGAAAGCTATTGTGAAAACTATTCACGTATACATGATTACAGTCCATATCCAACTCTATTGAAATAAAATTTACTCTAACTTCGTTTGTAAACAAACTAAGTCCTAATATTTTGTCACATCATACAATTTCTATAGTATTCTTTAACAGGTATATGGCTTTCAAGAACATTGAAACTTGATCAAAAAACTATTTCCTATATACCATTCGATGCATCACGAGTTGCTCGACAAAAAATAATATAGGTGACTTTTCAAATGAAGAGTGATCATCGTATTCGACAGGGTCGTTTTTCTATATCAAATATTTATATTTGTTATTTTAAAGATTATTAAACGTGCTCGAGAAAGACATCTTATTAAAAGTTATATGGATGATAGTTCAATTACAATTGAAAAAATTCTTGAAGATTGTCAACTTGCACTAAAAGTAGAAAAAAAAATTCAAAATAAGATAAATTTATCTTTTGTTTTTATTTATTTTTTTAGCATGTAAAAGATGTTCGTTCACGTGAAACAGATAAAGATAAACAAGGAATGTATGACAAACAAATTTCTACAGTAGAAACTTCATTTCAAAATATTAATACTTTATCTGACATTGAAGCTAAACGAAAAGTAAATATATTTATTTGAATATAAAATTAGAACGAATATTTGTTTCCTTTTTAGAAATTATTCGATGATTGTCATGATATACTTTCAACATATTTAGATTTTAATTATTCTCATACAACGAATCCATTAGATAATGAAGTATTTCTTGAATTAGCTCGCCATTACGAATCAGAATTTCATAATGATATGTCACATTTAAATATTTTACCTCCACATGTTTTAACACGTGTAAGTGAATATGTACCTGAAATTATAACATTTATTGAAAAAATTATTGAAAATGGTTACGCCTATGAATCAAATTCTTCAGTTTATTTTGATACAATTAAATTTCATAAACAACATGCATATGCTAAATTAGAACCTGATAGAATGGGTGACATTGCTGCATTAAGTGAAGGTGAAGGAGCATTAACAACAGCTTCAAATACAAACAAAGAAAAACGAAATGAATGTGATTTTGTTTTATGGAAAAAGAGTAAAATTGGTGAACCTGTGTGGCAGTCACCTTGGGGACAAGGTAGGCCAGGGTGGCACATCGAATGTAGCGTTATGGCTAGTACAATTTTAGGTAAGAAGTTTTTTTCTAAATGATTTTTTTTTCATAAACAAAAGGAATCTACCTATTAAGCTTTTCTATACACATTGAAGAATTAATGATATAAAAAAAATGAAATGGCACTTTTTAACTTATTTTCTGATACATTTTAAAACAAAAGAATGCTTTAACTCAGTAATTTCATGTATATAGCTTTGTCTAGAATGACTTTCTGTTCGGTTTTTGTCGACTTGTAAATTTCATGTTGCACATTGATTAATCGATTTGATTAGATGACTGGGTTGGAAATATGATTGTTTACATGATAAAAAAACAACTAATTTTTATTTTGTTTATTTTTAGGTTCACAATTTGACATACATACTGGTGGCATTGACTTAAAATTCCCTCATCATGACAATGAAATCGCTCAATCAGAAGCTTATTATGATAGTAATACATGGGTGAATTATTTCCTCCATAGTGGTCATTTAACAATAGCTGGTTGTAAAATGTCTAAATCATTAAAAAATTTTGTAACAATTCAACAAGCACTTGAAAAATATACATCAAGACAAATTCGATTATTATTTTTATTACATTCATGGTCGTCAACATTAGATTATAGTGATCATGGTATGGAAAAGTCTTTAAATTACGAAAAAATGCTCAATGAATTTTTTCTCAATATAAAAACACATTTACGTTCAATGAAACAATTAAGTCATTCAGGTGCTTATACAAAATTTGATGAAAATGATCTACAATTAAATGAACGTTTTTCAATGATAAAAAAACAAATTCATATCGCATTATGTGATTCCATTGATACACCAACAGCCATGGAAAATATACGTCAATTAATAACAACGACAAATATTTACATGAACAGAACAAATGCAATTATTAATCGTCTTCTTTTACGTAATATTGCTGTTTATATAACACGTTTAGTTGATATATTTGGCTTAAATTCTTCTGGATCATCAATGGATGACATTGGATTTACTCGATCAACTGAACAACAAACATCATCAGTTAATGTCGAAGATATTGCTATGCCATATGTTGAACAATTTGCTCTATTTCGTGATGCTGTACGTACACAAGCAATTGCAGTTAAGAATAAAGAAATTCTTACATTATGTGATCATGTACGAAATGAAATTTTACCAGAATTAGGTGTACGACTTGAAGATCAAGGTATAAATTGAATTCTTTTGTTTTCATAGTTAATTCGTCGTGTTTTTTTTTTCTCTATATATAATAGCGGGTACAAATAAAGCAACAATAAAATTCTGTGATCCAGAAGTATTGAGACGCGAACGTGAGCAAGCATTATTAGTTGAAAAAAGTAAACAAGAAGAAAAAGAACGACGAAAATTAGAACAACAATTAGCTAAAGAAGCAAAAGAAGCTAAGAAAAAAACAACTAAAGAAAAAAAAGTAAGACATATTAAATATTTGATAATTTTTTATGACATAGAATGTTTATTTTATTCTTAGAATACTGATTCAAAAACTTCAACACAACCAACTAATGTTGAAAATGTTACTAATGGAGCAACAGCTACAAATACTATTGAAACTGTTACTGATGGAGCAACAGCCATGACTAATGGTGATTCTTAGAGCTCACATTGATTTTTTTTTTCTTGTACTTTTATTTCATTTTAATCATACTCGTCTTTGTTTTTTGCTGTTGTTGTTGTTTCATTGAGGGGTTATTTTATGCTTGTTTATTTATTCTTCTATATTTTTGTTATACCAACGATGATTGAGGGAAATGATGTGACGAGGATGTGTTTTGATCAATCACTTGTGTTTGTTTTGTAGTAACACTAAACATCAAACATTTAAATATATAAGATGTTAAAATCAATTTTTTTTCTCTTTTTGTTCTGTTAGGATTGATAGATATAATCAAACAACAAAATTGAAATGATCATAGAACCACTAAAAAAAATATTTTCAATTAACAAAATATATTTATTGAGAAATGATCACCAAATGTATTATTCATATGGTAACAGATGGTAAAAGAAATGAAAATTATATTTTGACAAAAATAGATGAGGCAAAACAATTGCATAAAATAGAATAGATAGTAGAAACTGAAAATGAGTAGGTGTGGGTACATGAAAAGAAGGCTGAAACACATACGCCTACATCCTTGTTTTTAACTGCTCTAAATTAATGGGATCATTTTGATCAAATGAAATTATTATTATTTAAGTTTGTCTTATCGACCAATTACCTTTTGAAATAAGTGCATTAGCCGCCACAAATACATCATCCATTATTCATAAACAGTAACTTCCTATCATTCATGTTGCATTAAAGCGTTTAGTGATCAAAAGTATCTTTTTGTTTTGCTAATCAAAAGATAGTTTACCCATCGAATTTGTAGACGGATATGGAAAAACAGTTGATTTTCAAAAATTGCTACATATTTCGATGACCATCAGAGTTTTTTTATATTGAATAAGCTAATTATTTGATATTAAGTAATTAATTACGTTGATGATTTTCAAGACTAAATAGCAAACAAACTGCTTACTTAGTATATGTTGAAATTTCTATACACAATCAGCGATTGTAAATAAACTATTCAAACTATAACTATCGTTGAACATACCTTAACATATAAAATGGAAGAAGTTCATGGCAAAGAATAGTTTTTAAGCCATTACAAAAAGATTCTATTTGTTATCCTATTGCTTTCTTAAGAGACAACATCTCACATATCATCACGAGACATCTCATCAACATAGAATCAATTGAGAAGAACGAGACAGTAAGTAAATATATATTCTCTTAAGACTTCTGAAGGACTTGTGTTTCTTAAAGAAGAAATTATTTTTCCATTTTACTTCATCAATGCATTCAGGGTTGCCAGATCGAAAAGTTGAAATTCAGAATTTTTTTTCTTCAAAATTAGAAAGAATTCAGAAAAGTTAATTTTTGCAAATTATTTGCTATTTGTCTTAACATGCTGGTAGAAAATTGTTTACTGGATCCTGTTCATTAACCTATACTTTATTTTTATACGTATTTTACCGTAAAAAAGAAATGCAATTCAATAAATATGTTGTTTAGTTAAAATGAAAGTGCAAAGAATAGATACTTAGCGTCGAACTCTTCCATTAAACTCAAAGTTCGTTCAAAAATATGTGCAAAAACAAACTATATATATATTATATAAGTTAAGTGATTGTACGAAATAAAACCAGAAGTTATATAATATTAAATCAATATTATAGTTCATATTTTCTACTTTTTCGAATTTATTTTAATAAGTGTTTTTGAGTTGAAATATATTTGTATAATTGTTCGCAATAATAATTAGTATTTATTCTTATTTTAAGTTCAGTACTGACTGAACTATGGGTAGAAATTTTATATCGATCCCACTTGCTGCTTCTCGATACCATAGACTTACATATCGATTGAAAGTTTCGTCAGTAATCGCTTAATTCAGAAACTGCAAATGAGTAGGATAAAAGAAGACAACACAATATTGACATATTATACGAATGGGTTATAATCATAATTTATATGCTTTTAGGAAACTGAGACCTAAAAGAGTTCTGATTTTGGAAGAAAATCAGAATAATTTTCAAAATTCAGAAACTTTCCTTTTTTTTTCGGAAGATCTGGCAATCCTGGTCATAGTATAGATAATAGCGTGGCACAGTGTTCATGATCAGTAATGAGCACGATATAAGAGACAATAGAGGTTGCTTGAAATATAGTTGTGGTGTATTGTAGAAAACGTACTGCTAATCATAATAGAAAGATTTATGAGTCTTCGTTAGACTTGCTGGATCCATGTAGTCGCTGAAAGAAACGTGTCTTTGGTTTTTCTAAAATTAAGTTGTAAATAAAAAAGATCATAGACGCAGAAGTCAACTGAAGGAATTTTTTCATTGACTATCGGAGATTCGGAGAAAAGTTTTTTCACGTAATTTATTTTGTTGCTCGCAACCTTATGTTTAACATATTAACAAAGATCAACATTTTTTCTTCCATAACTAAATTCTAAACAATAATAGTTCTTTCTTTTTATTCGTTCGAATACAGAAATTATTTGTTGTTTATTGTTAATTTATATATAATGACCATTCATGTTATTGTCTCTCATGTTTAGATGAAATTATACTTCCGATAAAATTCAGACAGTGTTCGCAATTGTTTATTTACCATTTATTCCAATTAAAAGAATTATCTTTTATCAATTGTTTCATATGATGTCTTTTTCACTGATATCGAGACAAAAATAATCCGTTTTCTATATACTTTAGTTAACGATAAGTACTGTATTCTTCATCTGTTCAAATAAAGACAATCGTTTTATCAAATGAATTCATTTTAGAAAAATGCTTCTTTAATATTCATTAAGCTCAACTTCGAAAACAATTTTTCTTTCGTATCGTTGAGGCATGGATGTATTTGCCTTCTATCTGTCGAATAATAGAATCCAACTCTAAAAATCTTATTAAAAAATTATCAGCGCAAAAAGTTCGTCAGATCCTAGAAGCTTTATCGGATTTGGATATGATCGCCGGATCGACTGACAAGACACGACAGATACACTCTCTCAGAGCAAGCATTATGGCTGTATCTCGTCGCATTGGTAAACAAGCAAGTATACCATCATATACTATCATATACACATATTCTTCTCACTCAAGAGAGAAGGATTTTCTAACTTCCCTCCCACCTTAAACACGAAATGCTATTTGATTGAAAATATGACTTACTGTTTAATCTGCTGTTTGAATATTTTAAACAACAAATACTTATCATTATGTTTGTTGCTGAATTCAAAAAGAAAAACCTATGTGCAGGATAGATGCTACTCAACTTACAACTAATTTATGATCACATACGATCCGGTACAATAGTCGCGCATGGCAGTCTTATACGTTCATCGTAAACGTTATTCATATTTGAGCACATGGGGTCACATACTTTCGTTGCATACGATGATGGTATACACAACAGTGTTTTTTCACCCTTGGCTATTACAAGTCATTTCAGTTAGTACTTAATTATCTATATATTTTCTAATCACCCATCATTTTTTATCTGATGCTAGTAATCAATATCGAATAGAATCAAATCATTAAGTATGGTGTATACGATTCTGTTCAATCTTTGTTTTTTTTATGAATTTTTCTAACAAATTTTCTATAATAAGAAAACCAGAATGTATCCAAACAAGATTTCAATGTACCATCAAAACGCCACTGTAAGCTGCAAAAGAGTAATTTATTATGTATCTTTGGTAGGATAATATGGTATGTATATGATCGTTTGCGGTAATATTATGATAATTTACAATGATCTGAAGTGATTGATCTGAGATATGAGACAACGTTTAGCTTAACTCATAATAATTCAGTTTTAGAAAGTTGAAAATTAATATATGTCCATCTTTTGAGATACAAATCTATAGAACATATCCGAAGGAAGAAAGTAGAAATTGATAATGGAAATTTAATGAAACTTATTATAATAATTCTAGTAGAGATGTCGTTAGTTGAACCATTAAAAAAATTTGTATCCGATTGGTTCTTTCTACCTGCAATTAAATGATTAATCAATTTATTTTAGGTGAAAATATGGTCTCGTGCTTACCTGATGCTATTTTGTTTAGTTTAAAAATCACCACTTATACAATTCCATTAGTAATAGGTATGAGAAATAATAAAAATAATAATGCACAAGAAAAAGCCCTTCTTTTTTTTTTCTGTTTCAAACAAAATTTTTACTGATACTGTATATAAATACAGAACTTTGTCGTGTTTTATTGTAGATAAAATAAGAAAGAAAAATGGTTGATGATAATGATGATGATGTACCCTTATTGAATGATGATGATGATGAACAACTAATAACATCAGAAGATAGTCAACCAAATGTTGAAGCAGTTTATGTCGTTACTTTTGACGTTAAATATGGTAAAATTTATGAATTCTTTTTTTGTCTATTTGTATAAATACTTAAGGTAATACAATTGAATTTCAAATGCCGGAAAAAGAACAAATGCCATTAAATGGTTTAGAATATAAAGCAATACCGGGTGGATCCCATCATATTAATCAAGATTTTGTGTAAGAATTAGTTTGCCTTTTTACAGTTAACAAATTCTTCGAAATAAAAATATCGCTGCAGGATAGGTACCAATAAAAACTATGAGCACTCATAGTAACCTTGGTTTCAATTGTAAAAGATAACAATCATTACCTTGATTTTTTATTTGTAAAATATCTGGTATAAGTAAAAATCAAAGTAACCATGGATGTCCATAGTTTTTTAAAGGTACTCATGAAGAATTTCAAAATATCACATTATACTTATAAATAAAACTTGAATCGATTTCTAAGATTAGATTATATTTAAAATCGGCTCGAACAGAAATCATGATGACTACATTGAAAATATAAGATAAAGCTTACAACTGGATGAATTCATTTGGTTTATGTCAAAAATATCTCATTTGCTGATCAAAAATTCTTTATGTCCGCTCGTTTTATAAACTTAGTTTGCTTTTATTTGAAAGATCATGTCAAGCAGTTGTGCTTGGCAGAGTAATTTTTTTGTTAAATTCTTATATTTTATTCGAAGAAAAAGAATGACAAGTTCAATACCTCGACAACTCTCAAGAATTGGTTATCTATTTATAGAAGTGCTGTTTTTACATGATGATAGAAAGAAAAAGGTTAATTCAACAAATGGGCTCTACCAGGCACTGCAGCTTCACATGCTTCTTCAAACAAACAAAAAATAATTAACTGCCATGAAGCTCCGTCGAGAATTCTGAAATGCGCGATTAGAAAAACAGGAAAAAAAATTTGCCTCTTCTCCTGCCAAAAAAACATATTCAGTAATTGTTAGGAAGGGCATAATGTTTTTTATTTAAAGTTTCCTTTTTTACTCTTCCCTATATTTATTATTTATTATTACGACGTTTCGAAGAACACGTCCTTCTTCGTCAGGTGTTAGAAAACAAAATAAATTTTCAATTAAGAACACACGTATATATATAAGTACAAAATTGAACTTTCTTTTTTATTTGTCCTTTTTTTTTTAATTTTCAATAGTGGAACGGACGACAACAAGACGGTAACACTGGACCGGCAAAGAAAGACATTATCTATTTTCTTATTCGTCG